CTCTGATGTTTACTTAGGCTCGAATGCAAACTAAATCCTTTGCCACATTCATTACATTTGTAAGGTTTCTCTCCAGTGTGGATTCTCTGATGCTTACTTAGGCTTGAATGCACACTAAATCCTTTGCCACACTCATTACATTTGTAAGGTTTCTCGTCCAGTATGAATTATCTTATGATAAGTCAGGCTTCCCCAGACACGATAGGCTTTTCCACACTCATTACATTTGTAAGGTTTTTCTCCAGTATGCAATCTCTGATGTACTCTTAGGTATGAATGCACTATAAAGGCTTTCCCGCATTCATTACATTTGTAAGGTTTCTCTCCGGTATGGATTCTCTGATGTATAGTTAGGCTCGAATATGAACTAAAGTCTTTACTACACTCATTACATTTGTATGGTTTCTCTCCAGTATGGATTCTCTGATGACTAGTTAGCCTACCACGCAAACTGAAGGCTTTGCCACACTCACTGCATTTGTAAGGTCTCCTTCCAGTATGGACTGCCTGATGACACTTGAGGCTTGAACGCACCCTAAAGGATTTACCACACTCATTACATTTGTAAGGTTTCTCTCCCGTATGGATTCTCTGATGTGTAGTTAGGCTTGAGTGGACAGTAAAGTCTTTGCCACACTTATTACATTTGTAAGGTTTCTTTAAAGTATGCAATCTCTGATGTACACTTAGGTTTGAATGCACTCTACAGGCTTTCTCGCACTCATTACATTTGTAAGGTTTCTTTCCAATATGTACCGACTGTTGGTAACTGAGGATTGAAGGCATCTTAAAGGCTTTGCCACACTCATTACATCTATAAGGTTTCTCTCTGGTATGCATTCTCTGATGTATAGTTAGGCTTGAAAGTGCACTATAGTATTTGCCACACTGAGTACATTTGTAAGGTTTCTCTCCACTATGAATTCTCTGATGATTCATCAGCCTTGCACGTACCCTAAAGGCTTTGCCACACTCAGTACATTTGTAAGAATTTTTCATGCACGCTTTCAGATCTGTCAGTATTGAAGGAAGCATAGAATCATTCCTATATACAGTAGGAACAGTGGATTGAACCCTAGGAAAAACTCTTTCAAGTGGAGAAGCAAAGGAAGTATTATCGATAGACTTCTCAGGTGGATTACATTCATCAATGTTCCCTTCAGTTTGAAACGTCGTCATATCAGCCTGATGTGACTGAAACCTCTGTCCAAGCCCGTTTTTAATAGGCTCCTTTCCAGCATGCTCACTACCAAGTTCACCTTTTCTATCAGTGAGATGTTTTCTAGGACTTATAGACATTCCTTTGTGATTGCTTTCATCATTTCTCTGCTGACAAGCAAAATCATGCATATCTTCCTGGATTTCCCTGAAGTAAAAATCTTTGATTA